TTTCACCCTTACTTCATTATGGATTGATTTCTCTTCGACCATTAAACTGTATAATTAAATTAATATTAGATATCATAGAAGGAGGTTGTTTACTTACTTATTCAAAGTGGCGTCTGCCGCTCCCTCGAGACAGCGCACATGTGTGGATGTAACATCTGTCTGTCAGGGACCCGCGACACTGTTCTAAAAGTAACCTTCCCTTTTCTAGGAAATCTTATTTTTAAAATTGTTAGAAGTTAGAAAAGCTGTAAGAAAAGAATCATTAGAAATTTTAAAGATTGTGAAAATATGTATTAAAATTTTGTTTTCATTGATATAAGTTACATTTTTATTAAAATTATAAATTAATTGAATAATAAAACATTTATTATGCTTCAAATTCATTTATATTTGTTTTCCAGTTCCCTCCCACAGTAACTGGAGATCAAATTGAATGAATTTAATGCTTTATAATCGTTATCATATAATTAATATATTTAAAGTCATAGGAAATATATTCAGTAATTCTATCATTTGTTTTAGTATAAGAGTAGAATATAAGTTGTTGGTTAGATTAATTGGAGAAGTTTGAAGTTTCAAATTTATAATTATATTTATTATTGCTTAGGTATTTGTGTATTGACAGCCTATTGTAAAACTTTACTGTTTTGTATTTAAAACCATTGTTTAAATACTCTTTATTAAGATTTTTAATGTCTTTAATAAAGTTTGTTTTAATGTTGTTGATTCTATAAAATCTTAAAAATTGACCAAAATATATGCCTTTGCAGCAATTTGATGATATGTTGGAATTGACATTACAGAATTTAATAATTTTAAAATTATAACAATTTCTTTTGTCATATGTTCCAATTGACTTGTTTGCAAGGTTTATATTTAAGTCTAAAAAGTTAACCTCCTTGTTATTAGTTATCTTTTCATTATTTTTAAGTTTCAAATATTTAGGGTATATTTTGTAAATGACATTATTGAATTTTGGGTTATTCAAGATAATGATGTCATCTACATAGCGGAACATATGCCAATTTACATCATTCTGTAGGAAGAACTCTCTTTCATACCAAAAAAGTAATAAGTTTGCTAGTAGAGGACTGGATGAAGTTCCCATTGGAACACCTTTAGATTGAATGTATATTTTGTTTTTAAAATTAATATAATTAAAGTTTAAGAAGGTTTCAAGTAATGTTTTTGCTGTTTTGTTATCTAATTTAAATGTTTTGTATTTGTTGTGAATAATTTGAATATGGAATGTTTTATCATTAATGAATTCATTTATTAAGCTGTGTATTTTATTATTAAGGTCTTCTAAACGTATGTTAGAGTAAAGATCTTCAAAATCAAATGTATGAACTGTATTGATCTTTTGTAGGTTATTTGTTAGGAAGTTAATGATTTTTTTATTAGAATCTATGAATTTATAATTATGTTTGTTAGTTATTTTATTTATTATGAATTGAAGTGTTGAAGCTAGTCTTAAATCTATGTTTTTTATGACTGAGTTTATTCCTGATGTGATTGTTCTAAATGAGATTGGTGTTTTATGTAATTTAGGAATAATATAAAATTTCGGTATGTTTGTGTTTTTGTTGTAATTAATGATTTTTAGTGTGTTTTCTACATTTTTAATATCTTTTTTGATTTTAGTTTCAGTTGTTTTTATGAAAGTGTATTTACTGTTGTTATTAATTTCATTTTTTAGAAGGTCATGATATAAGTTTTTACATATAATAGATAAATTATTTGAACATTTATCTATTGGACATATGATAAAATCTTTTTGTAAGTTTTCAAAATTGTCTTTTAAGGAATTAATTTCCGATTCATTAGGGATTGTGTATTTTAGTGTGTTGTTATAATAGTTTTTTATTTCTTTACTTAATTTATATTTCCATTCTAGGAAAGTAAATTCAGGAATTCTGTGTTTTATACTAGTTTTATTAATGAATATATCGATGTCTTTTAATATAGATTTAATTGTATTATTGAAATTGTGTTTGATCTGAGGTATATATTTATATCCTCTATTTAAAATGTTTTGGAGTTTTGGTTCCAAAAAAGAATAATCGCTAGTTAAAATATGTCCTGTGAATTTTTATTTATCTAGAACATTGTGGCAATTACATTTAGATTTTTTAAAATTTGTTAGATTATTAATAAACGGGTTATAATTGCATAATATACTGCCAATATTCTTGTTATATTTCCAGGTAGTTTTAAAATTTAAACCTTTTATAGGAAATAAACTGTAAATAGATTGGTCATTAAATATATCATTAAATTTGAAATGATCAAATAATTTGTTATTGAATTTAATAATAATGTTAATTTGGTTATTATTTTGTTTAATTTTTCTGTATTTGAAGATGTCGTTTGTGATATCTGTTAATCTATTAGAAAGATTGTGAATTTTAATGTGTTCTACAAGTTTTATAAGTTTGCTATTATTTAATTTGAATAATGTTTTAATAAAATTTTCAATGAAATTTTTTGTGTACATTTTGTTTGTGTCTAATAAGTTATTAAAGTTTATGAAGCCTAATTTGTTGGTAGTTTTACCTCTGGTTTTGACTGAGTTATTATTAGAGTTATGTTTTTTGTATTTATTACTAATTTCATAGATTGATATTTCAGATGGTTGTGGTGTGTATGTGTGGTTAAGTTCGTCGTTAAGTCCATAAGGGTATAAAGTGTTGTGTTGATAAATGTAATTGTTTTCTAATAATAATCGTTGTTTTTTGTCTTGACAAATGTCAAGTATTTCTATCATGTAATTGTTAAAGGTATGTATTTTATTGTGTTGTTTCATGTATGTGTTACCAATTGATTTTTTCGAGTGGTTTCTATGTAAATTTATTCTTATGTTTAAAGGATTGCAAGTTTGTCCTATATATGAGAGTTGACAAGTTTGGCAAGTTAATTTATAAATAGTGTTTTCTATCTTACAACTAGGTGTTTGAAATGTGTCATGGTTCTTGAAAGTTGGGCAAGTTTGACATTTCTTATTTAGACAATTTTTAGCGAGTTTAGAGAACATAGAAGGGGTGCTAACCCAAAAATGTTTGTAGTTTTTTTTAAAGTTTTTTAGTTTGTTATTCTTTAAAACGTTTTTTTTTTAATTATTTGCTATAGATGTTAGTTGAAATAATTAATAATTTGTTTGATAATAAATATAGATTGTTGTATGTATATCTGTAGTAATTGTAAGAATAACTAATAAAAAACATCTTTAAACTGACTAAAACACTGAGAAAAAAAAAATTCTGTGAGTATTATGTGATTATAATTACTTTTATATTTCAATCTTTCCTTTAAGATATAAATTATACCTTTTGGATATGTAAATAACAGAGTTTGTCTATTAAAAATTGAAATCTTAAATATAACTTAAATTAAGTTATTATCATAGAGCAAGCTCGTATGAATTTATATGAAATGTAAATAATAAAGTTTATCAAATAAAATTATAAATCTTAAATATAATTTAAATTAAGTTGATATTTTAGAGTGATTTAAGATGGATTTATATATTGATATAACTATATTTAAAACTTTTAATAATAGTAATATTTATATATAAAAAGGAAATTCTATTAGATTAGCAAGCTAAATCTAAATTAATTATATAAGATAAAAGTTGATAATTATTTTTGTGTTTAAGTTAGATGAGATTAAAATTTAAATATATATATATATATTCGAAAATAGAGCAATCCATAAATTATTCTTTAATTAAAAAGGCATATATTGGATCAAAATACCATTTATTTTACCAATATTTCAGTTGGCTGAACGTCAACCTTTTTCAAGGTATTATAACTTGAGAAACCAAGAAATGGGTATTTAAGGCCAAACTTTTGAAATACGCTAAACACGAGAAAAAAATAATAGGAAAAGATCAGGTTTTGATAATAAAAATAAAAATAATATATAATTAATATCAACACCTGACCTTTTTTTTTCTATTTAATTATTATTTATTCACATATATCTGTTTAAATAAAAATACATATATTGGATCAAATTATAATTTATTTTACCAATATTTCAGTTGGCTGAACGCCAACCTTTATCAAGGTATTATAACATATTAATGTTTGTCAACAACAAACTCAGCGCCACATAACGTTAATAGAATTAAGTTTAAAAAAATATTTCTGCTTATATTCAATGGGGAGAAAACATTTATGTTGGACGCAAAATGTTATAATACCTTGATAAAGGTTGGCGTTCAGCCACCTGAAATATTGGTAAAATAAATGCTTTTTAAATCCAAAATATGCCTTTTTATTTAAATAATTATTTATGGATTGCTCTATTTTAAAAATTATATCTGTTTAATTTGTATAGTTGATGAATTTTTGAATATCGGATAGAAAAATATTTATAAATTTTGTTCTTACTATTGGAAGTTTGTATTTATTAATAGGAAGAAGAAAAATGCTACTATTCGATTTACTCTCTATTCGCAGGCCTTTTTCAAAGAAAATAAAAATACAGCCAAACTAGTTTACTGAACGAAATATTTCATCCAATTCTCCCAAAAGGAACAAAAAATTATCCTTTAAACCAGAGAAATATGGAATTCAAAATACCTGGTTGCAACTACGGTCCACTAATAGCCAATCCTTCAGGTTATTTTCCTTTTGTACTTCACAAGCGAGTCAAAACTACGCATTTAATGTGCACGTTGTTGCACCAAGTAGCAGCTTTTGTAGGGTCGTCGACCTTGGTTTCTTCCTTCTTGGTGTTATACACCGAGCGGGTTTCCATACTTAAAGCAAATAAAGAAAAGTAAATAAAAGTAAATTAAAGTTATTGTACATTATAAAGGGCTGCGGCGTGTGATTATAAACAATACTTAAAATTATACCGCATAAGTTTCTTTTCTATGATAAAATCAATATTTATTTTAAAGAGAAATATTTACTATTTCAAACTTTTTGAATGAAGTATGAGAGGGTGAAAATATGAAGAGCAATGGCGAACGGGAAAAATAAAAGTGTCAAGGGGCGGGAAACGAACCCACAACCTTCTGCTTACCGGGCAAGTGCCATGTCCACTAGGCTACCCTGGACGTTATTTCTCCGTTCGTAAGTAATACTTAAAGTAACTTATAATACATTATAAAGGACTGCGGCGTGTGATTATAAACAATACTTAAAATTATACCGCATAAGTTTCTTTTCTATGAAAAATCAATATTTATTTTAAAGATAAATATTTACTATTTCTAACTTTTTTGAATTGATGAGCTTATTTCGGCGCTATCGTCCCGAAATCCATGAGCCTCTTTTACTCTCAGGGAGTTCACGTAAAGTTTACATCCTGCTATAAAAAAAAATACAATCTGTATGTATCCTGCGCGCACTGGGGTTAAAAAAAAAAGAAAGGACATAAACTCTGATTAAGATTACAATATATATTTATTTATCTCTTTTGACCAAAAAAGAAAACACAAAGATAAGAAATAAAATAAATAAATATGCAATGAGGATAGGTTGTGAAAAAAAATTACATGAATATACCTATTAAAATCATTATTAAAAAAAAATACTTAACTTTGTGCTTCTGTTGGAAGGCTGGAAATCCCTCCCCAAAATCTTGTAGAACTACATTTTTTAACGAGCTTCCCTATACTATCTTATCTCTAAGACCGCCCTCACCAAAAGCTTGCTCGTGACTAACTCTTTCTCTCCCAGGGTGACCGAAAAAAATTAAAAAATAAATCTTTATCTGGTCACCCTCTGTGATAAAAAAAAAGAAAATTTAAAATAAAAAAATAAAATTATCATTCGAAATATTAATTTTAAAATATAAAAAAAAGAAAACCCAAAATAGCTGCTTATTTAAAAGAAAAAAAATGGAAATTTATTATTGTACTATACGTTATTTACAAAAAAAAACTAGAAATAAAAAGGAGGTGAAGAGATGGGCTGGTATTATAGAGAAGAATGCTCGAAGTCCTTTTCTTGGAGTCCTCTTTGTGGCGGCCCCAGAAGTGGCCTCTACAGTCCTTCCCCGCCAAGACCACGGGATTTGGGCTTGCGAGGGAGCAGGACAAATCTCCGGGGTCAAAAGTGGAGGTCGGGGAATGCTCTGGCTTGCGAGGAAGCAAGACAAATCTCCGGGGTCAAAGGTGGAGGTCGGGGACGCTCTGGCTTGCGAGGGAGCAAGACAAATCTCCGGGGTCAAAGGTGGAGGTCGGGGACGCTCTGGCTTGCGAGGGAGCAAGACAAATCTCCGGGGTCAAAGTGGAGGTCGGGGGATGCTCTGGATTAGCGGAAACAATAGCACTGTCTAAAAAAATTAAATGTCAAAACAAAAGGGCGCCATGCATTCTATTTATTCGCCAGTTGAATGCAAGACTGGCTTTTTAATTCCACTCTGTGACACGGATAGTATTGTGATAAGTATATCCGAAGTCTTAGGGTGCCTGGAACACAAGGGTTATGAACATATATATACATCTTTTTATTTCTAAGATTTGACTCATTTGTGGGAAGGTGCATACCTACTAGTTAAAAAAAATAATGCTTAGTAATTAAAAAAAATTAATAAAAGAGTCAATAATGAATAATAATTTGAATCATAATGAATTCAAACTAAAATAAAATAAAAATAAAATATAAATAAGATTCAATAATGATTTCAAATCTGAACTATAATGAATTCAAACAAAAAAAAAGAGAGCCAAAATGAATTCAAACTTGAACTATAATGAATTCAAACTGGAAAAGAAAAATAAAAGTAAAAGAGCCAATAATGAATTCAAACAAAATTAAATAAATAAGAAAGCCAATGATGAATTCAGACCTGAACTATAATGAATTCAAACTAAAATAATAATAATAAAAGAACCAATAATGAATTCAAACAAAATTAAATAAATAAGAAAGCAAATGATGAATTCAGACCTGAACTATAATGAATTCAAACTAAAATAATAATAATAAAAGAACCAATAATGAATTCAAACAAAAAAATAAATAAATAAGAAAGCCAATGATGAATTTAGACCTGAACTATAATGAATTCAAACTAAAATAATAATAATAAAAGAACCAAAAATGAATTCAAACAAAATTAAATAAATAAGAAAGCCAATGATGAATTCAGACAAAATTAAATAAATGAAAGGGACAATAATAAAAAAAAAATGGTGACTTCACATCGACTTGACACGGTGCCTGTCATTCAAAATTTATCTCTATCAGTTCCATGCCTTTTTCGTTGAAACATGTCCAATTCTATATGGGTTTGCTACTAACTAATTTAAACAAACATGATCAAGCTCTAAACTTGTTTAATACCTAATAAAATAAATAAAATAGTATTTTATCAATGTACTACCATAGTACGTCTGGTAGGGAGTACTTTATAAAGACTGACTGGGCTGGGTTGGTTCTCCAGGATGAACACATCATCCAACTCATCATGGTTCATAGCCAGTGTATGAGTAAATACGACATTCAGCACAAAGCCCGAAATGCCAAAGACCTCACGTCCAGCACAAAGCCCGTGGCGTGATTAACTGGCCTATTCTGTACTTATTGATACCCTCGCCGAAGAGTCCTCGTGTCAGTCGTCTGAAGACACTACGAAACCTCGCGCGTCCCTATTAATGGTATCAGACCCAACAAATGGGTCAGTGTATAGAACCGATCAAGTCCCCGACTTGCAAAACCCACCCTAACTCAGTCTTTTACCACTAACGTTATCCATATGGAAGGAAGCATACCCATAGCGCATACTTCCCCTACTGGGGTTTGAAACCAGATACCACCCAGTTATCAAACCCTACATTGATTTAATTGAATTGTATGTAGCCATCTGGTGCGCCGGTGAAAACCCGCTAAGTCCACCAAAGTCTCACACATATCAAAAGTTAACAAAAAAAAAAACTCATATTCCCGAAGGAAGCCTAATAAAAAGGAGCGACTATTTTCTAATTTGAGAATTGCATTGTCCTGAGAGGCTTATAACCCTAACAAATTTGAAATCAAAATAAAATCGATCCTATTAAAATTTCCTAACACTATTCTAAATTCGTAGTTTGGTCTAACAATATAATTGAATGCTGCTTTCTCACATTCATTCCGCATTCCCATTCACACAATTCATTCATAGCGGGCAATCATACTAAAGTTAAGATCTATTATATAAGCCAAAATACTATATAATCATCATCAATATACCCTAATAAAAGTAATACTAAAATTGTCAGGACTTAATGTGAAATCAAATAACTAAATAAAAAAAATGAAATTTGGGAACTAAAAGCCCTTCAATATAAATTAACCTATGCCTCATACAATCTCTGAACAAACTCTAATCAATGACTGATATCAGTCTCAACTGTAAGCTAACCTAATCTTAAAAGAATTGTAAATATCAAAGTCTCTAAATTTTCTTTGCCTCAACACCTAGTACCACTGCAAAGATAATTTAATAGGACAATTTACTAATTTGAGCGACAAAGAATAGGACATTCAACTCATGAAAGCGAAAAACAATTGTAGACGCTTCCTCCACTGATGAGATCCTATTGATTGACCTTCTCTCCTCAAACACGCTCCAGTCACAGCAACCACTCTACACCACTAACGCAACAACTTCATCCTACTTGCTGACTCAGGTAACACGCAATAGTCCTAGAATATGGAATTAAAGGGCGTCTATATATACCCAACCGATATCTGTATTAATGTGGAAAACTACACTCTGCTACACCACTGCTCTCAACTACTTGGCTTCTGATTGTCTATGTCTACTTAATCTCAATTCAAGGGATTATTGAGCGTCATACGATGGCTCGTATACCCAACCTTGGACGTCACTAAGAACACAAACAGCTCGCCGCCAAACATTACTCCGACCTCGGCAGTACATCTTTCTCTGGAGTTGTTGTGTGGCTCTGGAGTAAACTTGATGTCGCCCAGCTATACCTATACATCTATTTAGCTGCCTGCACCACCGATCCTACTGTAAACTATGCACCATACTGAAGTACTAAGTATTAGCTCCTTGATCAAATAATATCTTATTCTAAATACATCCAATCTTAATAAAAAAATTACCCTAAACTTGAATATTTGTGCCAAATTGGTTACACCTAATTGCCAAATATTAAACAAGACTGATTGCCTATACTATATGCTTTGACATGAGAAAGTTTGAAAATTTTAACATAAAATTTCAAAATTTAAGGTTTCATAAAAAAAAATTCTATAAAAAGAAAAGTTCTGCTTAATTTGGTCTCTTCCATTTAATACATAATAAAATTTTATGAACTGACTGTTTCTTATACAGCTTTCTATATATACACTCTCTTCACACTACATCACATCAGTGACTATGGCCACCGCTCACATCACAAAGTCTACACTTGCAAATGCACACTACACTTAAAAATTTCAAAATTAAAGGTTTCATGAAAAAAAAATTCTATAAAAGAAAAGTTCTGCTTAATTTGGTCTCTCCCATTTAATACATATTAAAATTTTACGAAATGACTGTTTCTATACAGCTTTCTATCATATTGTTCTTTTCCTTATTCCAGCCTGAACTCTTGTTCATTACACGGTGGTTCGTAAAAGATATACTGTCGATTGCAGGCTAATCTCTCTTACGCCTTTGATGATATTATGTGTATTGACTTGACCTGGTTTGATTCAGCACGCCTTCCTATCGGAACTTCGTCAGGATACAGTGCTGGACATTTAAAATATATATGTTGTAATGGTATCAAAGATTTGTCTCGTTAAGACATGGCTGTCGCAGTGATTTTTCGTGGTATGACAGAGGTGAACCGAGCCTAGACACATCTGAGTAGGTGCAGATTGGCACAACTACATCTTGCGTAGATTGACTCGGCATGTCGATTAATCAATCTTGGAAATTCTGAGCGAAATTGGTGCATCAGCCTGCAGATGGATGTATATAGATTAAATCTATATTTTATAAATGATGCATATATTTCAGATGTTTTCTTCACATACTACCACAATGACCCACTCTTCAACTGGTTCATGCCACATGGTCTTACGCTCGGTGGCGTCCATCGGGATATTATGTT